TGACTTTTCTGTTAGGCAATAAATTAATGGGTAAAATTTTGTGAAGTGAAGAAGTTTTGGTTTTGGCTATAATATTATAAGTATATTTTGTATGCCAAGATTCTACTTTCTAGTCTAAATTGAGTGATTAGTTTCATCTTATAAACTACTTTTAGAAGTTCTCATCTCAAGTATTCTCAAGTAGTCTTGTGAGTTACGCTGGAGAGGGGGACATATTAGATGAATGTCCACATTGCGTTGGCAAAAATCTGTAGTAAATTATTCGTAGCTGAAATGTCTATAACCTTTGAAATATGTAACTATTTATTTACTTTGTACAATATAATTAGCCTTGTTATCCTGTTGTGTCATCGAAGATCTATTTCTTTGTTTACAGATCCGATAACACAATTTTGTGTATGCTTGTTTTAGGGTAAGTTAAACCCTGAGTGATTTACTATTTTGTTACGTCATACGATAATTAAAATACTATGGACAATAAATAAATGTTTATTTTATATAAAGTTAATATAAAAAAAGCAGAACGAAGCAAGACTTCAATAATCAATAGTTTAATTTGGTTAAAATAGTTATTAAGTTTTTCAAATAACAAGAAAACCTCTGATACTCTCTCAATCATACTACACTAAATAGAATTTCGTATTTTCTAGCATTTCAATAGTCCAAAATCCTATTTATGGTAGTTTAAATGTGTGGTTAGGTTTTTCTGTTACTCGAAAACTTCATATGACAGGAATAAACCTTAACTAAGAAAATTGTATTACATGTACAAAAAGCACCAATAATCATCGAGAAGATCTCTTAAAAGCTCAATTAAGTTAAGAGTGTTAACCGTGTCTTTAGAAAGGGACGTCTCGGTCCTTAGGCTCGGTGTTTTATGGCTGTTATTGCGACGGGTTCTCCTCAGACACTAATGTCTAATGTGCGTCAATTCAAACGTCTTGCTTACCACGGGTTGTAACCTCCCTATCTCCTATTGTTCTCACCTAACTAACTGATGATAGCAACCATGGCTGGTGAAAATAGCATGTTTTAACTAAGGTATCAGTGTGAGTGTGTCTAAATTAAGGTTATTCAATTGATATGTTTATATATTGTGAGTTGAATTTGTTATATGCATTCCTCAGATTTCATTACAGATTTTATTGTTCAGATTCACGATATTACTAATATTTATCCCCACTTTAGTTTCAAAAAATTAAATAGCCTACTTACATAGGCGCAAATTCTGTGCCATAAGCAACTATGCACTCAAGGGGGTTGCACCTACCTCATTGTTAGCCTACCTACAGTTTAATAAAACATAGAACGTAAACTACTTTAATGTATTTTAACTCCTTTGCTTAAATCAACACAGCATTGGTGATTGTCAATTATCCAAACAGGTTCATATTTTCCAATCCATTGACAGCTTGGATAAACCATATACATTCCTGCTCGTTAAGCCGCGCTCACAACGTAAGTTTCACTTTGGGCATCGTTAATCGGTTCCAACGTAATCGGTGTATTTACGCAAACTCACTGACATTGGGACAGAATCACTCTCAATATTGCTTTTCCCAACATCACTGTGCTGTTGATTGAACTTAAACCGATCTAAATGATTACGTATGTCACACGATGGTTATTATAAAGTATAACTATGGTGTGCGGTTTAGTTGTCAGTGTGGTTGTGAGTAATTTCATTATCATAACGAAATATAAAAGAAAGTAATCAGTAACAGTAAACTGACACATACTTTCCCCATTAGTTTGGCATTAAAATCGTGTGCGGTAGCGGAGCTACAGCCAACACCTGTCGTTCGATTTTGTCGAAATTTTAATTCTTGGTATCAATCCATGGTATTAATTGCTGTTTTTAATTTCTTTGAAAATTGATGGATAGGGAAGATTAGAAAATGCAATAACTTTTGAATCGTAATTTTACAGGGTTGGTGGCTATAGAATAAAAGAAAAGAAAATGTAGGCTACTGAGTTTCAATTAAAAACGTTAACATTCTTTTAATCCGATTTTTTTTGTTTAAATGGAAAAAATTATAAACCAAATTTTAGAAAAGGAAAAAAAATGGAAATACCATGGATTTAATACCCACAAAAACCCTCTAAACTTTTTGGGGTTCAGGAGGGCCCAAAACAGATCTTTCAACCAAAACAACATGTTTACAAAAACATCCAAACTCTAAAATGTTTCCGAAAACAATACACTATGTACTGTATAGGGGAGAACGTAAAAATGTTGTCCCCCACTACTTGATCATATACTACGTCCAAGAGCTTTTGACAGCTGTGAAATACTGGATGAACTGATTGAGCTAGTTAAAGAGCAGCTGTTAATAGAGCTTGATTATGGCAGAACCGATTGTTGGCTTAACTAGGATGCGTCTTGTGTAGTGTAGTGTTGGTGTAGTGGTACAGTGAATAGAGAACTTATGGATTAGTTACTGTCAGTAACTACATAAGGTAAAAATGTATCTCAACACCTTATACGAACAGGGTTTGATATATTAATGTTTATCTTTGAACACTTAAACACATCAATGTTTGTATATCAAATTTATAATTCATTGAAATCATCCATTGATTATGGATGCTAGTAGTAAGATATCTCTATTAAAATTGTGTAAATTGTATTGGATTTTATTTTTTTTAAGAATATTTTCATTACAGCTAAAAAGTAGTAAAAAGTTACATATCAAAAGACAACGATTATAATGTATTATGTTAGATAAATAATAACTATAATAATAATAATAAAATAACGAATAGTTAAATAACGTCCGCATCCAAAGTAACGAAAAAGTCATTTAATCATTTGGTTATTAATCTTGTAATTTCTTCACACACAAAATAGCCTTCTGTGTCTGATGTTAACAGAGCCAAACAAAATAAATAATATCAGTACCGTAGTTGTAAACTCAAACTAATTATATGGCTAAAAATAATGGCTAATAAGTATTAATGACACTTTGGCTGTTTGTTAACAAAAACACTTAACAGTTTACCAGATCTTATTTGTAATATTGACCTTAGTATTAACTGAAGCTGTATGCTTACCTGTGGTAGCTGTAATTAGGCAGTCTGTTTGAGTGTAAGTTTGTAAGTAGTTTGTTGATGGTATAATATGGAACAGATGTACAACGTAGCTTAATTCCGAGGCAAGTGGACTATCCAAATAGCTAGAATATTGTTTAGTTTTTAACTTACAAATTTTGGATTGTTCATACATCAATAACCATTTAATCCTAAACCCAGATTAGGAATGAAACTGCACATACATTGATGGTTTTAGAAATGATTTTAATCCAAACCTTAACCACAATATTACTCATTTGTTTGTAAAAGTAATCTGGTGGATTGTTTCAGATTTAAAATAAACACGAACGATACTGAAATTTGCAATTTAAAACGGTGTTTACGTTACCGTACATCGAGAGATATTTTACTTTCCCTGCGGGTTTCAGCAGCGCCAAGGGAGCAATGGCATTACTCGGTTTATACTTAAAAGATTATTCCGTTATCATGTTACTAAACTGCACACACACTTTCATAACACCACGTTGAAGTAAAATATTATATGCAACATCTCAGATGCATAAAACTCATGTAGGCCCAACTTAAATCTTCATACATTAATATTATTTTACATGAAAAAAATGAGGAAAACCTTTTTTTGTGTTTTTGTGTTCTCTTGTCATTTTGCTATTGGGTCTGATGATGATTGGATTATCCAATCAAATTCGATTACCCTTTAACATCTTTTATATACAGTATATTTATTGTCTTGTGAGTAAACAGTATAGTGTATATATATTATTACAAGTGTTATTTGACGAACTTTTGTACTTTCAGGTAGTATTTTATAACACGTAGGCCTACGACGCTGATAAATATGTTATTTACTATGTTTTCCTAAAGAAAAAACTACCTCCAGCTGGTCAACATAGAGGGTTGTCTTTTGTTTATTTTAGTCTCCAAAGTCAGCGTCATCTAAAAAAGAGTGACAGCAAGATACAAATTTGTTATCTTTAAACCCTCTCCAATTTCTGTAGGGTTTTCTGATATGTCTGATGATAGAATATATGTCGTGAGAGGGGATGGAGTTGCTGGTCATCAAGGGTGCGGAGGTGGAGGAGGTGGTGACTCAGGGACGAACCATCAACCCTCAACTGTCAGGACCCATTGTATAGATGTGCTGATGGTGTTGTATTATGTTACAGAGCTGCGGTAGAGATGCCGTGAGAGGGGATGGAGTTGCTGGTCATCAAGGGAGCGGAGGTGGAGGAGGTGGTGACTCAGGGACGAACCATCAACCCCCAACTGTCAGGACTCATTGTATAGATGTGCTGATGGTGTTGTATGATGTTACAGAGCTGCGGTAGAGATGCCGTGAGAGGGGATGGAGTTGCTGGTCATCAAGGCAGCGGAGGTGGAGGAGGTGGTGACTCAGGGACGAACCATCAACCCTCAACTGTCAGGACCCATTGTATAGTTGAGCTGATGGTGTTGTATTATGTTACAGAGCTGCGGTAGAGATGCCGTGAGAGGGGATGGAGTTGCTGGTCATCAAGGGAGCGGAGGTGGAGGAGGTGGTGACTCAGGGACGAACCATCAACTCTCAGCTGTCAGGACTCATTGTATAGATGTGCTGATGGTGTTGTATGATGTTACAGAGCTGCGGTAGAGATGCCGTGAGAGGGGATGGAGTTGCTGGTCATCAAGGCAGCGGAGGTGGAGGAGGTGGTGACTCAGGGACGAACCATCAACCCTCAACTGTCAGGACCCATTGTATAGTTGAGCTGATGGTGTTGTATTATGTTACAGAGCTGCGGTAGAGATGCCGTGAGAGGGGATGGAGTTGCTGGTCATCAAGGGAGCGGAGGTGGAGGAGGTGGTGACTCAGGGACGAACCATCAACTCTCAGCTGTCAGGACTCATTGTATAGATGTGCTGATGGTGTTGTATGATGTTACAGAGCTGCGGTAGAGATGCCGTGAGAGGGGATGGAGTTGCTGGTCATCAAGGGAGCGGAGGTGGAGGAGGTGGTGACTCAGGGACGAACCATCAACCCTCAACTGTCAGGACTCATTGTATAGATGTGCTGATGGTGTTGTATTATGTTACAGAGCTGCGGTAGAGATGCCGTGAGAGGGGATGGAGTTGCTGGTCATCAAGGGAGCGGAGGTGGAGGAGGTGGTGACTCAGGGACGAACCATCAACCCCCAACTGTCAGGACTCATTGTATAGATGTGCTGATGGTGTTGTATTATGTTACAGAGCTGCGGTAGAGATGCCGTGAGAGGGGATGGAGTTGCTGGTCATCAAGGGAGCGGAGGTGGAGGAGGTGGTGACTCAGGGACGAACCATCAACCCCCAACTGTCAGGACTCATTGTATAGATGTGCTGATGGTGTTGTATTATGTTACAGAGCTGCGGTAGAGATGCCGTGAGAGGGGATGGAGTTGCTGGTCATCAAGGGAGCGGAGGTGGAGAAGGTGGTGACTCAGGGACGAACCATCAACCCTCAACTGTCAGGACTCATTGTATAGATGTGCTGATGGTGTTGTATTATGTTACAGAGCTGCGGTAGAGATGCCGTGAGAGGGGATGGAGTTGCTGGTCATCAAGGGAGCGGAGGTGGAGGAGGTGGTGACTCAGGGACGAACCATCAACCCCCAACTGTCAGGACTCGACGATGGATACGGATCTTCCAACAGTTCTCCGCACAGCTCAGGTGATTTTGACGATTTTGTTTCTTTTATTGCTTTTCATAATCCTACAACATAAAATGAATAGTTTCGACTGCGAAGTCTTCTTCTTTTTAAACCCCACTTTTTAGTCGACGTAGCATCGTTTTGGTGTACTGTAATTCTAATAGGCAAACCAGTTGTGACTGCAGACGGAAACCGACCTAGAACAGCCGAATCCTGTCCCGTTCAAGAACTTCAGTAATTTTGACGTGCCGGCCGACCATTTCTTTCTGAGTGAAATAAAATGTTGCTTTATCTTTGAGCCCCTTTATGCCTGGTATTCTTTTCTGAAAGCAATGACCGAGACAAAGATATTGGAATCGTTGTCCAAACTGTGCCCGCCATATCACCCATGCGCCGTGGGGTTGTTGTATACGGCGAGGGTGATATTGTTCCTCCTCACAAAACCAGCAATGTGTTTTAGATCATATTTCTATACAGTATACTATAGATAAAATAACGATGTAAAATGAAAAATTGATAAATGGAGCTTGTAAACAACAAAAAAAACCTCTACGTTCCTAGAGTCATTATAAGTTATTTTACAGTACTATAGAAGTGCATTAAGTTCGTGAAAGTATAATGTTCATAATGTCCATATTTCCAAAGCGGTTGCGTTTTGTTAATATCACAAATCCCCGAGTGTATTTCGAGCGAGAGATGTAAATTACTTTCCCAGTGCGGGTATTACAATTACTTGTGGGTGATCAACGTCAAATCTGTTTCACTGGTGTGTACGCATCATTGGAGTTATTGATACAGAACCACTTTCAATATTCGGTCTCCACATTACTTTCTATTTGCCTTCATAGACATGTTCAGTGTGTAAACAGGTTTTTATAAATTTTAACTACAGCCAGAGAGAGACAGTGAATTATATTTTATCTTTTGCTATGATGGGATACATTTTATTTCTCTTCATTACAGAATTTTACACGAGATTCATTTAAATTGTATACATTTTACAAGTTCAAATAGTAATCATTGTAAACATACAATGTATATTACAAGCTTAAATTTTGAGTATTTTAACTTAATTAACACCTCATGAAGTTTATGATAGTTTAGGTTTTGTTAAAGTTAACCGAATAAACTTGTTTAAAGCGGGCAAGTTTGTTATAACCATTTGTCTGTCAACCAAAGTGGGGCCAAGATTTTTGACACTACACAACAATGAATAAGTGTGAGGCAAGATGTTATGTGTTTACGTTTTGATCGCCACTCCACTCCGCCCAGTGCATCACAAGTACCAAGATAGTGAACTTGACCTAGATATTCCAGCAATGAACGGTTAATAAGCGCACCAGTGAATGTTTACGCGTAGCCTTCGTTCTGCATTTCCCTTCTTTAATGCAATTAAGATGCACCTAGGTCTTTCTTATGAGACACTTTAAAGTTCATTCATACAGATAACATATTTAGTGTATATATTTAGACTGAGGCTATTTACTATACTCTGATAAAGTGTTGCAAATTTTTAATCGTGATCAGTTTTGGGGTTTTTAAGGATGATTATTTAAAAGAAGTTTCAATATTACAGCCATTGAGAAGGTAGAACAACTTTTTACTCTCTTAGTTACTGTACAAATTAATTGTTTTATTTGAATTTAAGGTATTATCCGCGTACAAAACTAAAACTTGTAAAGTGAGAGAGGTAGTGTGTGAGTTGGCACCAGTTCGTGATCAGGAAGTCAAGTTTGTAGGAATCTTCATCGATCATACCTTTCTGTGTTCAGACTGGAGGGAACACTCGATATCTGCAAATTATAATGGGTTTGTACATTAACAGCATATAAAACCGTAGTAGTAGTCAAGTACAAAATACTCGAATGGTTTTAGTATTTTCAATACACACAATAAAGCAGAATTTTTAGTTGATTGTTCTGATTAAATGATAGCGAAAGTACTATAAAATGGTATCTTCTGATATTATTTCATAAAAACCTTGTATGTGTTGGTAATATACATAGATTCCCTTATAGTTTTTCTTAACCTTTAAAACAGACTTAAAACTATGTTTTTGAATTGAAATGGAAGCGACTTAACGTAGCATGAAGATAAGCTCTAAGTACAAAGCTTAGCTCTCTAGAACATTTTTAATGGCTTTGTGTTATTAATTTGTACGGATTTTAATTATTGAATAAAACCCTGTATATTCTTTTAAATGTTTTAAAATTATATAATAAAAATTATAATTATACATATACTGACGACTTTTGAAAGTTCCATTTTCAAACCAAGTACGTGTAACTGCAGTATAAAGGCCTGTGTGAATTTTAACGTACACTTAACATTAATGTAAGTGTCATGTCTGATAGGCCATAAAGGTTTTAATGAGAAGTTACTAGGCTCTGTGTTACTGAGGTAAATCTTCAAACCTAGCTAACACCCGACTCGTGAACTCTTCTTCTTTTAATACATAAGAATCGAAGCTGTAAGTAAACAAAATAAAATAAAAACTATATATAATGTTCTTACCAGTTTTATCTAAATTTCCACCAAATATATGTTCTTATAGGTTGCAAACTACGTGTAGAAAGCAGTAATAATTTATCTATCTGTGGTAAATAATGGTTTTTAAACTGTTCAATAACGGGTAAAGATTCTTGTTTTGTTTTTGTATTCTCTTCGTGAAACTATCCTCATTTAAGTGCTTTGAATATGTTGATCACGGACAAAGTGAGAAAGTATTGCTGTCATATTGTGGTCAAAGGTAAATCAAGTAATTTACTGCAATTTTTACAACAATACATTTATAAAAACAGTTTACACATTGCTACGTGTGTATGGCCAATACAAAGTAATGTGGAGACCGAATATTGAAAGTGATTCTGTATCAATAACTCCAATGATGCGTACACACCAAAGTGAAACAGATTTGACGTTGATCACCCAAAAAGTAATAGTAATACCCGCCCTGGGAAAGTAATTTACATCTCTCGCTCAAAACACATCAGGGGATTTGTGAGATCAACAAAATTCAATAACTTTTACAACTTTGGCAATGAGGGCTGGAGAGAAAATTTTGAATATTTGATTTCGATGCGTACTTATATAACAATACCTTCAAACGTGCTGATATCATCTTGATGAAATGTATTTAATTGATTAGGTGTTTCAAAATGTAAAATATTATCTGAAATGTTTTGACGATTGCTGTAAATCCTTAACGCTATTTAGATTGGTGGTGATGTTATGTTTATGTGTTTTAAAGGAATTTTTGATAAGTAACCGTAGCATTTTATGGTCTCAAAAGTGATATAGATATTTTGACGCCAAAACACCCGGGGTACTTACAGGCAAAAGGATGTTGGGTGAATGAGTGACACTTTTGTTACTGCCTTTAGATCAGCTGATTCTTTAGGTGGGGCAATTTATGGGCTTCCAAACTTGTTATGGGTACATTTTTGAACAATTAAAGTATTTTGACTTTATACAGAATTTGGCCAAAGAGTTAGAATTTTGGATACAGAAGAGAAGATCCATTATATAAATCCCAAAGTGCCCATAAACTTATGAGAAAACTAAAATTGACACCCCCAAAAACCATATACTTAAAATGTCCATAGTGACGAGAAACCTTGCGCAAAACTATCCATTATTTCATAAATTGCCCTTTAAGGTAATTTCTTTCTAAAGGGAACTTTCCATATACATAATGTTAAAATACCTCAGCTGTACTTATTTGTTTGTTATTCTTTCAATTTATTACATTATCAGGTGTGATTATTTGTTTGTATGTATTCTGTTTCGTTTATTTCAGCTTAACTTAACCAATCAATAGTTTTATTATTACCAATACTTGTCAAACGAGGTGAACCCCGTGGGTTAACAGCTAGTTAGGACTAAACACAAAATGCAAATTTGCGAAACACTCGAATTACATATTATTATAAAAGATTCAAGATTGGTGATAATATTCGGAAACACTCACGCCAATCCAGTGTATGGTACCACTGCTCAATTAACCATGCAAGATGACGTCATGGTACAAAGTTCAGCGCAAGACAGCTGGCCGAGAGTGTCGCCGCAGTCCCAAGCCTTTACGTGAACGTGCATCCGTGCATACTATTAATTGTTCGAATGTTATTATCGTTTGTGTGTGAATGTAAATATATTTTGAACTGACACCGCTGCCACATTACCAACACCAAAGCTTAAACCACTTATTCCACAAATTATTGGATTAAAAACGTAAGTAGATTCTTCATATCTCAAGTAGAGCGTCACTTAATCCTTACGTTTCCCATATTTGTCCCCTAGCCTAAATGTTTTAAGATTTTGGTTGGAATAAGATTAAATAAACCACTAATACCACTCCTTTTATTGATGCTATAATACTACCCTCTCTTGAACAATTAAGGTTCATTTTCAAAATATCTTCTATTCATTAGGACATTTTTAATGTGTTTATCAATACGAAGGTAGGTTGGTAGGTGATTTTATCCCAGATTAACAATGTAGCAATGTTTGATTATATTCTTTTATGCATCGGATTTGTTGTTACGCCGAATTCCAAAATGCATACTTTATGTGAAAGTAAGTGAATGACGATTTTTGTATGAATAAGATGACAACCTCGTCATCAGAAAAATTGAAAATATTATTTAATTTGTAATTGAAATCAATTAAAAAATAGTTAATGGGAATAACACTGTTCTAGACCTAGAGCCTTGTCATATATTGTAGATATATTGTAGACGCAGCTAATTAAGTATTACTTAATTACATGGGCAGATGCGGGTTATACAACAACAATAAAAGGCTACATGTCAAGTTTAACTTCTCTCTCATCTCTTTCGGCGTTATATGGAATCGTGGGAATAGTTGAGGTGTAGTG